ACATCTGGTGAAAATTTCATGTCATTAMCACCTCTAGTAATATATTTACTGAGAAAAATGGTGACGTGTTCAATACTTATTTTACCCGCTGTATATGTTCAAAACTACAAATATGAAGAGTGAAACACGTTGATTAATCATGCTAGTASTTTGTCGACCTTTTGAGTAACCCAACTTCCAGCCTTCCCGTATGATCTTTACTTCTCAATTCAACCAGGAATAATTTGTAACGCCTCTAAAACAAACAGGATGACAAGATTTKGCTCTGGACACATTTTAGTGAACTAAGGGGAGGAAATGGTTCTTTTGATCGTAAAGGTTGCAGACTCCTGAGCTAGCCTGATTCAAGATGGCCGCCACAGCCTGGCTTTAGAAACCACAAAAATGGCTACAAACTTAGTCTGTTTAAGTTCTGACCTTTAAACTTGTTGAGGTAGCTTACTTTGTTTTCTTAATCGCACACTGTTAGCATAATATTTCATCTGCTGAATGGATTTTAAGGAAACTTTAAAAGAATAATTATTAATTAAACATCAAAAACAGAAACTGATCTAAAACTTGATGTTTATCGGAGAGAATGATCTGAAACAGCTACATGTCATCTCTAAACATTAGAAGCTTGAAACTCTGGTATGAGAGTGGGTGGATGAGGTGCAGTTTAAAAAAAACACTAAACCTTGTGTAAAATAATTTGATTTCAATATAAAAGGTTTTTTTTTTTTGTGTCAACCTGTAACTTCCTGTTCGAAGGGTCCAAGCCTCCTTTTCAAGGCACATGAAGGTGTTTACTGTTAGATTAGCTGCCTCCTCTCTTACAGGTGCTTTTTTAAAGTTTCACACTAATGAGTCACGTAAATCCTGTAAAGGTAGCAGAACGGGCCGGTGGGCACAGAGCGAGCTGTGACTCACGGTGGGTGAGTGGGTGGTCAGGTAGCAGGGCTCGCTTCATGAGCAGAGGAGATAATAACACCGTCTGTACGTCTCTCCTAACCCATTTGGGTTTGAAAATAGTCGGCCTCCCCAGCTGTTAGTCATTACGCCTTCTGGTGCCGAGGAGGGAGGAGGGCCGCCTCTGTCAGCGGGCAGATACAGAGCGGAGGGGGAGGGGGGGGTCTTCTTCACCCTGTGTTCTCCAGGCGTGTTGCTGCTCGCCTCATTAATCTGCGCTACTTGCAGGATTTTATCAAATCCAACATGTCGTGGAGAATGAAGCAAACACGCACTCCCCTCGCAGCYGTGTTAATGTCTCGCAGCAGTAAATAAATGAAAACAGGCTTCTTCTTTTTTTTAAATCAGATGCATTAATGGGAAACTTTAACAAAAAGGCGTCTGAGGTTAAGATTCTTCCTGAACTTGTTGCAGACCTGTCGGACAGGTTGCCTTCAGGACGCTTCTCGTCTGGTTTCAGGAAGCAGAAGTTATTTTTATCATCAGGTGCCTCTAAAATCTAAACGCAAGCAACAAATTTATTATAGCTTTTTGTAATGAATCGTCATCTGTCTGCTGCGGGGGGGTCAGAGAGGGATTTCCATGTATGTTTTTTTCGTAAAACCAGGAGAAGTGTTAGGAAAGTGTAAATCAGTCAGGACTGTCCCTGACTTTTTAACATTGTATAAACATTTGTGACTCATCACATCAAATCAAGGTTTAGGTCCTAAAATACGTGGAGAGMCAGTGTTTTGTTTGAAGGGGCAATATCATGTAAAATCAACTTTTTTGAGTTTTATATCATGTTATAATGTTA